AAAAAAAAAACACTACGATCTTTTCGGAGAAAAAGAAGCCGCTCATACTATTGGATACATCGTTAGCACATTATCACCAATATGTGAAATCTAGGTTTCGTAGTAGGACGTGTGTTCAGAGCACTACATCTGTTATGCCCACTTCCGCATATGCAATGTATATTCTGTACAGGAACTCAATGGGGGACTGAAGACCCGATGCGCAGTAACCTAGGGGCCTGGAGGTGCCTTTATGGGCATGAATCTCAAAACGCCCTACGAAAGTGAGCCACTGGTTGCTTTGGAAATGGGGAATGCGCTTAGTATTAGTTGTCTTACGGTTGACCACTGTCCTTATCTTCCCGTCTGCCAGTTTTTTTATCTTGGACCTCAAGGAAGAGCATCTGCTTGTTGACTTCTTCTTCCATGGTAAAATGGATATCGAGAAAGACTGAATTCAATAGTGCCTTGAAGCCACCACGCTGCTCCTCTTAAGCGTGATAAACTTGTCATCTACGGATCTAGCCCAGATTTTCTGGGGGTCCAACCTGTAGAGCAGCTGCTCGTGCCCCTGCAGAACTACTTAGGCAGAGAACCCAGACATGGAAGAGCACATTGGTGTCCCCTTCTTTTGCTCGTAAACCTGGCTGTTGAAGGTGAAATAAGTCTTAAGTCACAGTTCGAGCGGCTCGACGATATGCGTCCATTTGAGCTTTTGGTCGGTGTCGTCATCTTTGTCCTGGAGAAGGCCGTCGATATTGTCAACAGTCAATGTGGGTGGAATAGAGCTAAATAGCAAGATAACATCAAATGACACTAGCACCTCGTCTGCCTCTACATGAAGGTTTTCGATGCGTGTTAAAAATTCTTCCGCTAACTCACTGTCCACCTCGAATCCTTGGTAAGGAAATAACATCGCATGTACAACCATTTTGATAGCCCGAATTTCCGGATGCGGCCTAATGAGACGATGGAACGTAGGGGCTCTCCGGGCCCGTGGATATTGGCAGGAACTAGAAGTGCACCATCGTGGCATCACTGGTTTTTTGGCCAGGGCATCCTTTCTCACGAGAGCTCCCGCGTTTAACAGCTCGTCGATCGTCTTGTTTATGCAGTTCAAGAGCTCTTTGAACTAGTTGGCAGTCGATGGCACATAGGGTCCTTGTCCACTTTTGTCCCATATTCAGCCCTATACATGACGAGCGTCCTCTGTTGGCAGGCAGGACGACGATATCCTCCATTTTCATCCCGCAGAATTTTACGTTCTTCCGCTTTTGAAATCGTCATTTGCCGTTTGCGATGGAGTAAATTTTTCACCTGATACCGCATGGCGTTCTTGCACTCTTCATTTGCCTCGAATTTCTGAAGCGTTGATTCGATGTATGCAACAGTCTTCTGGTCGAGAATATCTCTTGCTGGAGTTTGCGTCAGAGGATAGAACCGCTAGTTACTGCTAAATGAGAGGATGGGAGGACAAGCGATGAACAAGGAACCCATCAGAAGAGTATGGATTATTTCACAACGCAGAGACAACTGGTCGTCACGTAACTTGCAGTGAACTCCCTCACTGTCTAGGATTTCCACTTGTAGGGTTGCCAGTTCCTGCTCTATAAAGGTCAACCGACACGTTGGAGAATGCTATTCGAACATACGTTGGTAATTGCAAACGGTGGCGTGACAGTCTCTTTTTAGCACCCTGAGCGTTGTCTTCTTGAAATCTGCCATCGTTCATTGGCATAGGTCAGTTTTGAGGGATGTTCTATAGCTGAGGCTTTTGAGTAGGGCATTCGCCTCAAGGTACTGATGCATAAACTTCAACTGAACGTACGTGTATGCTTCTGGCCTCGCAAAAGTCTGCCGTCTGCGTGCCCATAGCATAAATGAGTATACTTAAGGATTCGCCCTCATCCTCTCCCGAAGAAGAAGAAGGAACTGGTTCTTGAACCAAATTGTATTCGAACTGAGATGTCGGAAATCTCGCTTCCCTCTTCAGAGTATTGTATTTGCTGCGTTACGTAGTCATGAGTTAGCCAGGCTTGTGTCCTTCTCACATCGTACCCGTGTCGGACACGCGAACTTTGACTTGTCCGTTTGTAGCTGACTACGCTGTATCACCCGGAGGTAGGCCGCTGGCAGGCTTACACGACCTTTGTCCCCTTTGGGTTCAGCGTAGTTCTGTGCAAGTCAGTATGTTTATGGGCCTTTCCCGCGTCAGTCGGTGGACTTGTCAGTCGTTACCCTTCGTCTGAGTTGTTGTCCACTTTGTGGGTTCATCGATGGGGGCGGCGTGTGATGTTAACCACGTGACTTCCAACCACCACCCCTTTTCCGTGAGCGTACGCTCCTGGTTCCTCGTTTTCATTTGGTCTATTTGCCCTGTTTGAAATAAACCGATCCTTGCCCGGGGTACCTGGCAGGCGGGGTTCAGGGCTATGGCTCAGTCGATTGTGTTAATTAAGGGCCAATTTTCAATCAGTAGTCTGGC